AATTAAAATGACCTATAAATTTGGACAATGACAATGGGTGAGTGACACACACATTGAGGAAGTTTGGAATTATCTCTGTGTATCTTCAGTAAGCTGCTTGACTTTATGTAGGTAAAAGCAATGGGTGAGGATCATTAAAAAGCACTTTGACTATAGGTAGCATAGTCTCGATAAATGTTCCTACCTAAAAAAGAGAAATAAATTCACATTCACAGAAATGTTGTAACACAGCACCAGTATTCACCCCATCTAAACATTTTAAGAGTATGATGAAGACCTTAGAGCCCCATCCTTTAAGACTTCAGTGTCTGGAACCAGAATGATTATGTTGCTAGACTCCCACATGGTCGTCATGGTTCAAATTCCAGATCTGGTGGCTTGAAACTTAAACCAAGTGTGTGTGCATGCTTGGCTAAAATTCCAAGAGCAGAATGAAGGAGAAGGGATTGTGGCATGACTGGCCCCTCAATCCTCCTCTGGGTGAGTGATTTCTCACTTTCTGTCTCTCTGTCTCACTGGCAGGTGCACACACCTTATAGCAAAAATCTCTCTTTAAATAAAAAAGACTTTGGTAACCATTCGCTATGAAGGATATTCTTGAACAAAACCCCAATACAATAATGAAATACATTATTTCATGTATTCCATGACTATATTTGCATTTTGACAATTGTTATAAAATATCTTTTCTGAAAATATGGCCTCTTAGAAGAAGGATGCTCTCTGCAGACAAATCCGTGCTGCCCTGCACTGACCTGGGACACCTGGGACCCCAAGAACTCTGGGCTTGGGCTGAGTTCCTGAGATGACCAGTCCTTCAATTGCACCCAGCTCAGCCCTGCCTAGCCCCTGCTCATTTGTATGTTCTCAGAGGACAACCCATAGCCTGAAGACTTAGTAATAGACTGGTCACAACCTATGTAGGATCAGTCCCCATGAGGACACAGAAGGACATAAGGGCCTCCACTCAGCTCCTGGGGCTCCTGCTGCTCTGGCTCCCAGGGAAGGAAGGGGAAATCCAGGATTCACTCAGTGCTGCTGGCCCTTCTTGGAAGTCCTCCCATATACGGTTAGCTGTGTGGACATTTGCTTTTCTGTTTCCACTCTTAAGTGCCAGGTGTGACATCTGGATGACCCAGTCCCCATCCTCCCTGCCTGCATCTCTGGGAGACAGTGTCACTATCACTTGCCAGGCAAGTCAGGACATTAGAAATATTTACACTGGTATCGGTAGAAACCAGGACAATCTCCTTAGCTTCTGATCTAATATACTTACAATTTGCACTCTGGGGTTCTCTCAAGGTTCAGTGGCAGTGGGTTTGGGACGGATTTCACTCCGACAATCACTGGCGTGGAGCCTGAAGATGTTGGAACTTATTACTGTCAACAAAGTTACAGTGCCCCTTTCACAGTGTTACAACACACACTGGAAGGTTTTGATCTTGAGCCCTAAATAATCGTCTACCCCACCACTTTCTTTCCTGCTCACCTCAGCTCCAGCAGCGCAGACGTGACATTGCCTCACCTGTTTTCATTAAGAGCAAACGTGATTATACCTGAGAAATCTAAGATATGCCATTTGTTGAGATTTATCAAGTAAAGAAACTACTTTTGTATTCATGTATTCATGCCTAAGTAAGTTTACAATTTTTGGGCTATTCAAGTGTTTTCACCAGGTTCTGAATTATTTCTGAATTTAAAGACAAAATTTTGTCATGAAATTTGTCGAAGATGTATACTAAACTGATGTCACACCACTGCCACATTCAGGATGCCCTGGAGAATTGAAATCACAACAGTGGGTGTACTCCACGGGTTACACCTCTGGAGACTTTGCAAAGAGTGATCGGCACCTCGAGGGCACTGACTACCTCTTTTGGCAGATTATCAGGCCTTAAAAAGTGGTATGGTTGGGTACCATATGGCTGGCCACAGTTCGAGTCCTGGACCTGGAAGCTTAAAAATCACACTGGGCATTTGTTGTATGCATGCCAAAATCCTAGGAGGAGAATGGAGGAGAAGGGAATAAAGTGTAGCCAATCATCTGGGTGATGATTTTGAACTTTGCTTCTCACTGTCTCTCTCTCTCTCTCTCTGTCCCTCCCCAGTGAATGCATGACTCCATAGAAAAACCTAAAAAAAAAAAAATAAAACAACAGGATTGGAGACAAAAGGGTTTATGTTGATGTACTTGATTGAGCCAACAGACAATGTATTTTGGATGAAAAATTCATTTTGTATACTGTAATGATGTATAGCATATTAATGTTAAAAAATAAAAACAAATTAAAAAAAAAAGAAAAGCTGACTAGACATTTCAAACTGGGCTAAGATTGAAAATAATGGCTTTCCAGGTTAATATTGATCTGAAAGCCATACTGAGCATGGGGCTTTTAATTGGTAAGATGGTCCAATATGTAGATTTTAGTTGTGTTTCTAGATTTAGCAATAAAATTCAGACATAGAGTCAATAATATGAATTTCAGCTAACAAGGCTTACATGGTTACTTTCATTTCTGACAATCCACATTTCTATGTAGGATGAACAGTCCCGAACCATTAACATTATTCCACTCCTCAGGGCTCAGGCTAACAGACAATGTCCAGGTGATCACAGTAGGCAGCAGGACTGTACATTTCCTACACTTCCCGTGTGATGGCCCTAGGCATGCGCCTTCCTTCCTCCTTGGTCACAGCAGCTGCAATTGCCTGGTGCTCTGTTCAGACTGCATGGTCTATTTCTGAGAATGTTACACGGGGTTCAAGAGTCCTAAAAGACTTCAGTGTCCTGAAATCTAACTATACTGACACACAAACTTTTCAAAGAAATTTATCTGCAATATGATTCTTGAATCTTGTCTCTAAAGTAGGTGATACTAGAGACAAAGAACTAGGCAAAATGAAGTAACGTCTGAGGAAATAATAACAATGTCTGCAATTATGGACACACCATCTTCCCTGCCAGGTACCATTGACTGACGCCTTCAAGACCTACTATGTGTTCAATACTGAACTAAGGGCTTAATAATCTAAAGCAATTAATCCCACATATCCTTGATAGTGTTTTCAAACTTTTGTTTTTTAACTCCAACTTCACTTTTGCTGTGATATCCACACTGATAAAAAATTTAAAAAATAAATTAATTTAAAAAATTTAAACAGAACAAAAAAAGAAAAGAGGTCAGAGATTCTCAGAGTTTAGCTTCCTCAAGGTACCAGTGCTTGTAGGGAGGCAGGTGGAAACAGACTTAAGATTGGACTTCATCATTCCTATTCATTAATTCACTCATTCATGTTACAAGTACTTATAACTGAAGACAATCAGGTATGCCTGCTGTAATTAAGTGAATACAGAGTGCAGCTCGATTAATATAAACAGTACCTGCCTCCCCCCACCCACTTCCCAGATCAAGGTGCACACCTCCTCCAGCACCCCAGCAAAGTTCCCAGCCTTCTTCCTTGTCAGTGCCGTGCTCTATCCACCAATGTGTTAGACCTACCTGTCCTGTTTTCTATCGCATTCGCCAGTCTCCCTGTTCTTGAACTTTATGTAAATAGAATCATATAGTGTCCACTCTTTAGTGTCTTGTTTCTTTTGATCCATATATTTTTTGAACTAAATTTATAGTGTTTCTGTGGCAATCAGGTGTTCCTTTCTTACTGTGGAAAATGATCTTTTATATGAATATAGCACCATTTATTCTTCAATAATGACTTGTTCTCAAACTGAGACTTATATAAATTTTAGGAATATCCATGTAACTGTCACTTCTCTTGGGTATATTCCTAGGAGTAGAAGTACCTTGTCATGAGTTTGGTGTAAATTTTGCTTAAATAAACACCACATACAATTTACCATAATGCTCAACACCATCACACTCAAATAACCATGTTATAAAAGATCCAGTTGCTGTCAAATCTTTTCTTAAAACTGTAAACATTTTTTTTTTTGAGAGGTTTTTTTGCTATAGGGCGCGTGCGCTTGTCAAACAGACAGAGAGAGACATAGAGACAGAAAGCAAGAAATCACACCCCAGGGGGGATGGTCACTTCTCTTCCATTCTCCTCTTGGGATCTTGGGCATGCACGCACACGCGCCCCGCGTGAGTTTTAAGTCACCAGGTCCAGGACACGAACCGCAGTCGACTATGTGGGAGTCCAGCGACATAGCCATTATGCTAACTGCTGGTTCCCAAAACTGTAAACTTTTTATTTTAACTATTTGATAAGTTTAAAATGGTTACCATGATTAGGACCAGCAGTTAGCATAATGGCTATGTTGCTGGACTCCCATGTAGTCGACCGCAGTTCGAGTCTTGGACCCGGTGGCTTAAACTCACACCGGGATGTGTACATGTGTGTCCAAGATCCAGAGAGGAGAATGGAGAAGAAGGGATTGTGGCATGGCCATCTCCCCCTGGGGGGTGATTTCTCCCTTTCTGTCTCTCTGTCTCTGTCTTTCTGGCGAGCGCACGTATCCTATAGCAAAAACCTCTAAAAAAGAAAAAAAATGGTACCATGTTTAAAACTTACATGTCCCTGGTAAGAACTGATGTTGAGTAAGCTTTTATGTATTATTTTTCATACACACACACATACACACACACACACACACACACACACACACACAGTTTTGAAGTTCTTGATTATAGCTTAGTCACAGTTTTCTCTTGGGGTGTGTGTGTGTGTGTGTCTGATTATATGTGTCTTATATTCAATAATTCTTTCCATTTTCAGGGTGTAAATATTTTCTCCTATATTCTTTCTCTAGAGCATTTTTTATTTCTCACATGTGGACTATGGTCACCATTTATTTCTAATTTGCCTAGTGTCAAGCAGGTCAAACATTTTATTTCTAAATCTACAAATGTATATATAGTAAGAGGGCCCCACTCCCCTGTTCTCTCTTTCCACACTGCTGCACCCACCAGGGGATTTGCATACTGTCCCCTCGGGAGCGCCTTCCCTTGCAAGTTTGAGATAAAAGTCAGCTCTGATCTCTGGGCTGCTCAGGACTCCCCAGTTCAGCTCTCAAAATGGGGTTCCCTGCTCAGCTCCTGGGGCTGCTAATGCTCTGGGTCCCAGGTGAGGGGACAGAGGGCTGGAGAAGGGGGTCAGATTGGTGGGTGGGCTATGTACCCCACTGCTTCCACTCTGCTTCTGTCCACATGTGAGATGTTCCCATCTTGTCCTCAGGGTGGGGCATGTGAGGTTCAGATCTGTGAGAGTGAGGAAGCTTCCAGAAGAAGCGAGAACCTGTAGTTCAGTGAAGATTGTTCACATAGAGAGAAATTGGGTGTAGGGGAGTTCTAGAGCCCCCTGCAGTTTATAAATATGGGTCTCTTTTAGAAATGGAATATTTTTCATGTATATATCAAAATGACAAAAAAAGTTACATATAGAGTCTGAAATAAGAGAGGTAGAAATAACTCACTATGTTTATATATAACCTTCTTTTTCTCTCATTATTTCAGGATCTAGTGGGGATATTGTGATGACCCAGACTCCACTCTCCCTGCCTGTCATCCTTGGAGAAACAGTCTCAATCTCTTGCAAGTCTAGCCAGAGCCTTCTACACAGTAATGGAAACACCTATTTATACTGGTTACTGCAGAAGCCTAGCCAGGAACCAAGGATGTTACTCTATAAGGTTTCCAATCGGTACTCTGGCGTCTCAGACAGGTTCAGTGGCAGTGGGTCAGGGACAGATTTCACACTTAAAATCAGCAGGGTGGAGGCTGAGGATGCTGGAGTTTATTACTGCGCACAAAGTACATCATGGTCTCCCACAGTGATACAGCCCTGAACACAAACCTCCTTGCTTGGAGGGGCCCAGCTGCCCTCATGTGCTGTCTGTCCGGGGATAAGCATTGCAGCTTCTGAGCTTATATAAGAGGAAGGTGCTAGAGCGCTCTGGGCATTAGGTGGCTGCTGTCTGAGCCCCGAGTGCCCTACCCACAGCTCACACTCCTGCCATCTGTGTCCTGTCAGCTGCAGCAGCCTCAGTCTGGAATCTGGAGCTGGAGGACAGGGTGGTCCCATCAAGGTGAGGGGACATGATCACGTGGTGGTTCATAAAGGAACTGATAAAAGCTCATCCTAATCTTTCCTCCCTCCTTACACTTGTCAGTTCAGATTAATCCACACATGATAGAAATGAACAGATTTATAGAAACACATGTTTGGTATAGCTTGAGGTATATATATATTTTCTGATAGGATATTTGCTAATAATCAGAAATGGTATTTTCCCACTTCCCAACTTCCAGCTTTTCTTGTTTGCTAATCTGTCTTCCCACTCTGTAAAAATTGGACAGATAGGATTCTACACCAGCCTTCTCATAAGGAGCAGCTGTCTAAGGAAACTACTAATCTGTCTTCCCACTCTGTAAAGATTGGACAGATGGGATTCTACACAAGTCTTCTCATAAGGAGCAGCTGTCTAAGGAAACTTAGTAAAAATCTTGGTTTTTGATAATTCAAATAGACTTCTGTAAATTCATATCAGATGCAAGATTCTAATGCTAAAATTCTTTGATTTGTACAATTACCTATGACTGACAGAAAATGGAACTATTTAACATTCCTAAAATTATGAAAAAGTAGAAATCATAGGGCCAATTCAATTATTTGATGGTCAAGTGCACCACTTCCGACATGGCCAAGTACAGTTCAAATTCTAGGCCCTACAGCTTGAAAAACACATGCAGTAAGTGTGCATGTGTCCTCAAATCCCTGAGGGATGGAGAAAGGAGGATAAGGGGTCCCAGCATGGCAGCACCCCATTGGAGGGGATATATTCTCTGTCTTCCTCCCTTTCTCTCTTTTTCTATTTGTCTCTTTCTAGTTAGACCCTACACCCTCTGATGATTAAAAAAAATTGTATTGAAAATAAACCATAAATGAGAAAACACAGAGCTTGGGATTTGCCCCTTGTCCCACTGGAAAAATACAGCATTGTAATTTTGACTTCAGGAATGAGAGCCAAAAAGGAATACCATGGACCTGAGCTTTAGGACAATTATTTTACTTTTTGGCTTACGTATGGTGGTGCTAGATAGTTGTGGGTGTTGTGGATTGATGATGTGAACCTAAAACGAAGTCCAGATGTTTTTCCTGTGAATAATCACAGAGTTCAAGGGAACACTGCATGGCTTCCAAAGATTGGCCATGTTCCCATGTAAGTTTCATGAGAAGTAGTGAATGGAGAAGGTTTTTAGGTCTGAAATCATCAAAACTTAGGTGAATTTTCTGTGTAAAGAAAATGGAAGTCATGTCATCTAATCCCATTTAACCCAGCATAGCTGAGAATGTAATACTTACTCTGCCCTGAGATGTGATCCAGTAGAGATGACATCTTCAAGATTGTGGGGTGCAGAATGTGATGACAAGTTAAAGGAAAGGGCCATCAGGTCTACAGCAACAGGAGAACAGTAGAGATGGAGACCCGTGTCCATGATTCAGGCATGAATGAAGGATTTTCTGACAGATTTGGTTTGTGGCAGGAGCACCCTTAGCAGGTGGGAGGTTTCTGCCTTTCTAGCCCAGCATCCCCAGCCTGCCTGCTGACTCCGACCTCAGAGAGTGTACAATGAAAACCACTGGCCCTGTATAGCTGCTGTGGCTCAGTTGATTCTCCTTTCCCAGGTGGCTTCCTCTGTCTATAAC